GGCATAAATAATTACAGACAGAAAAATGAATGAGAATTCCCTTTAACCGCAATTCTGTAACTTTTTTAAAACATGGGGAAGATAGAGCAAGTACTAAAATAAAACAGATGCAGTCAGATAAATTCAAATGCCTTGCACAGTTTGATCATGTTCTGAATCCAATTCACTTGTAAAAATAGCACCTCTCATGCTCATTGAAACGTTGCTTGCTTTCTCTGCTTGGGTTGCCTGGAAGGTCTCAAGAAATACTGGGTGGCAACTGTTTGTGATGCAGTGGGTAAGTTTTATCAACAGTGCGGAAACAGATTCTGATAAAAATGACATCTTAAGTACTGGCATGCTTACCAGCACTTGATGCGCGGGAAGGATTAGCAGCAGAATGGGAGGTAAAACCAAGTGACAACATCAAACTCCTGGGCTGCGTGCCTGTGGGCAGATTTCTTTGTAATGTGCCTATTTGCTAAAAGCCAGTGACCTTTCAGGTTTAAGACCATGTAAGAAATATCTTTAGGAAGGCTGGTGGTCTCGCTAGGCTGAGGAGCTGAGAATGTAAGTGTGGAGAGGTTGAGGCTGATGCATTTATAAGAGAATGGCACAGAACTAGGAAGCTTATTGTCAGGGTAAAACAGAATTAAAATTGTTAATGTTAACAACATACGGTTCTTCAAATCTTTAGGTAACGCCAGACTTATCTCAGCTTGCTGGCTGTGTTAACTGCATTACAAGGGCTCCACCATCTCTCTCCTTTCCCTCTGTTCTGTTTCTAGTTCTCAATAAAATTGGCTGACTCCTGGCTGCTTGTTTTCTTGAGCATTCATTCAAATGTCTGATGTGATCACATACATGAGACATGCTATCTGATTGAATGCAGAATCCTCTTTTTCTTGACCAACTAAAGAGATGTACAGATGCTTTTGCAGATTAATCTGTCGCATTTTCTCCCCTTTGGAAAGTGAAGATGCTAGGAAGATCAGTTGGGTGAAATTTTTCCATGAGCTGTGGAATTTTCTGGTCTGAATAGCTGTTACAAAGAGGAAGAGTGTTGGAAAGCCTGCATACTCACGCTTGACTGAAGGACTAGCAAAAACGGAACAGAGCGCTTGAAAGATTTATTTTTTTAACCTGCTGGTGACATTTTGCAAATAGTAGAACAGTATCTTTGCTTGTAAGGCTGGGGTTTGTGCTGCGGGTTGCCTGCTTGCCCTTCTCACTTACCAGGTCTTGGAGACGAAACGTGCAGCAGAATTGGAGGAGTATTACATGACCCAGACTATAGCCGCTCATAACACAACACCTGGTCATCTACATATTCTGTGGATTTCTGGAACTCCAGTTTTTTGGGACAGATGTTTTTTCACAAAGCCTTCTGAACTCCAGCATCTCTTACACCTCTTTCTTAATGTCTTACATGGCTGCTTTTGGTGATGGGGACCTGCTAGGTTGGAGCCAGCAGCATTTGGAGAGGACAGGATTGGTGGCTGGTCCCTCCTTCCTTCTCTCGTCTGGTTCTGGCAGTGCAGTGTTACCTAACTGTGTACATATTAGACGTTTTGGGTGGTGATGAAAGGCGTTCCTTTGTTTAGCTGTAGTTGTTATAGCTGGTTTCTACACAGCTCATGCTTTTGAACAGCAGCTTAGTTTTGTTTTACCGAATTTTAGAGTTGGTATTCTAGAGCAGTCAGGTTCTTTTACTTCCACCTACCACCCTGCTGTGGCCCCTCCCCAGATTACTGCTAGTCTTGACTTTTAGCAGAAGCTAGCAAGCACCTTCTGATCCCTTTGTCTGGGGCGGGGGAGGGGGGAAGGTCAGGAAGACTCAAAACTGCATTTGATCTTGAATTTTTGTCAAACAGGTTGTTCTGTATTTCTCGTTGAGAGATCATTTCTTCAACATGGCATGATCTCCTTCCTTGTTGCTGATCACTGGAAAACGTTAAAGGAGCTGATCCCATTAAAAATCCCATTTCATAGCCAGAGCTGTGCAATTCTTTACCTAATAATAGAGTACATTAATGAATATATTTCTCTTCAGAGTGTGTTGTTCGTAGCGTTATGAAGTAAAATTTTAAGTTGAGGCTCGGTCAGTATTCTCATAAATCGGGTTGCTTCTTTTTAGTAAATTTCATGCTTTTACATGGGATTTTAACAAGTAAACTGTAATTATGGTTCACTAAGAAAAGGATTATCCATGGTGATTTTTGGGAACCACAGCAAAGCCCTAGCTCTAATCTGCCCTTGACATTGTGCTTTAGATGGTGAGGATTTCTTTGAAATGAGGCTGCTTTGCATACCAGATTTCAGCATTCAAAACTGAAGCCTTTTCTGTAGAGTGTCTTGTTCCCCCCAGCCCAGAACTACTCAGAACACCCCAATACAAAGTCTGAGAGAACTCAGTTTAGAAGTGAACTATCTTTCTCAAGGCCAAATATGTTCCTTTAAGTATTTTTTCCTATACCAGGTTTATAAACTTTTAATTTACTAGCAACTGAAAGTAAGTAAAAAATATTTTCAATAGATTTAGCTATCATATTGAAGGCATAAGTACAGACAGAAAATAATGTAGTAATTTTAAAAATCACACGATTCAGAAAATCAGAACCCTTTCAAATGTGGGTTTCAGCTCATTATTCAAAAGCACTACTTGCTTTTTAAAACCCATTTCTGCTGTGCTGTGAAAAGGTGAGTTATGGTTATGGGTGCCATGGGATTAGTCAAGGTTGGCCAGCAAGGCACTGACACTAGCTAAAGAGAGATTTTGGTCAGGAGATACTTAAAAATGTTGTCATGCCATTACTTTTTTCTAATTTCAGATGGGAGGGAGTGGCACAGAGGTTTTCTTGCTTGTAGTTTGTAAACTGTGCAATTGTATCTTTCAGGGATGTTCACACTGAGTATAGAATTGCTAAAAGCAAGAGGGGGCTATCCCCAAAAATCTCTGGAAAGGTTTATTTGTCACAAGATAAAATTACAAAATGATACGAGCCGTGAATACCTTTCTATAGCAGATCTCCACTTCTTTTGTCCTCTTAACTTGCTTACGGAGATAACTTTGTTTTTAATATCCTATACAGACATGAAAATACAGACTTTGCTTTTTGCTGGTGTGTACTGTCTGTCTTTCTTTCTCTAGCCAGTTAGCGTTAGCTTGGAGAATTTCTGGTTCTAGTTTCCAGCCCCAGTGGATTTGCAGTGGTGCAGGCTTGGAATAGACTTCTGCTTTTGGAAGTCAGGCTTCCTCGAAGATGGAGGTAGATCATAGTTCTTCGTGATCTAATTTTTAGTGTACCTTACCATTTACTGTGGATGCCTGCTGTTCTGTAGTTTCAGTGTTGGGGGACCTTCAGAAAGGTTTATTGAGGTAAAATTGCTGTTCTTTGGAGAGCAGGCAGAATGCAAAGGAAGTGGAAATGGGAATCAGTTACGTTTTTAACATTTTAAATGAACTTTAAATTTTCAAACTTTTTTTTCCTCCTCTGCACTTCTCTTTTTATTTCATAGCTGCACATATAACTCCCAGGCTACAGTTAGTAATTTCTTGTCGTATTAATTTTAATTTAGCATTTTGGTTTGTTGGCCAAAACTTGTGCTGGGAGTGTACAAAATCAGAAGAATCCGCAGGCTTAAGATGTTGAGATACTAAGGTTTTTAAGCATTTACTTGAATGTTTTCGGTATAAGACAGTAGTGCTTTGGCCTTGCTGCTTTTGCTCAAGTATAAAGGAAAAAGGTCCTTTAGGACAGCTTTTGTTAAAAGGCTGTTTTTAATTATGAAGCTTAACAAGAACTGCTGTATAATAGGTAGTTATGGTTAGTTCTGTTGGAGGAGTTTGTATTGAAGTACAGCAAATCAGTCTATCTTAAAAAAAAAAAAACAAAACACCTTAGCTAGAAGTACATACCAGTCTTTGCACATGTTGATCGCATACCCTGTACAGCTGTGGCTTCAGAAGGATGGATGAGGTAAGTATGGTGGGCTTTCCAGCCCTTCTCCAGTATTTGCCAAACTCCTGATACCTGAAGCACCTCTTTATGGGTTAAAATGTGTAGCAGCTCCACAGATGTGAGCCTGGGCAACCGTCTGCAAGCAGCTGTTGGGACGCAGTGCACCTTATTCCCAGTCTTTTCAGTGCCTCTCCCTTCTGCCAAGCTGGAGTGCATGGGCAGAAGGCAAAGGGTTGTATGGCGTGCTTCTGCCGTGCTAGGGGTTTTTTTCTTTATGAAGACACCTGAAAATAATTTCAGTGTTCTGTTACTCAGTTCAAGGTTTCTTTTAAAAGGCAAGCCTATCCTATGTGAACACAGGGTAATCTGAAAGGTGTTCTCTGCAGTCATTGTGTCCGTTCTCAGCATCGTGGATGTGTTAATATCTAATGAATTTCCCAGCTACAGTTGTTTGGGTGTAAACTTGAGAAATGAATGGTTTTGTTAACCAGAGAGACTTGTCTGAGCATTTCTGAGGATTCTGTACTTATTAGCCCTCATGTTACGTAGTATAAGGGTTATAACAATATTTTTGCTGCACTTTCAAAGTATTTCATTTTTCAATAAAAAAGAATTTAAAAGACAAAGGTTCAGAAAACAAAGGGCTGTTTGGGTTTTTTTTCCCTTCAAAAATGAAAGTAGGTAGGAATGCCTACAATGTAGAAGTCATACTTTTATTCAAATCAGCAGAGTGACTGTGGTGATTGCCATTAAAAAAAAAAAGAAACAAACTAAGTGTTCTCTTGTTGGCTGATGTAATGATGGTGGTGAAATTAGGTTTGTGGCCTATTTTTTTTTCTTAATTTTTTTTTCTTTTAATATGGCAGAATCTTTTTCTGGATGGGCAGAGAGTTACATAGTTCTGTGTATAGGCTTGTTTGATGGTGGAGGGCAATGGGTTCTTGATAACTTTATAGGTCACTTAGTACATTGTGGCATGGACTGTAGCCCGTACCTTAGCAGAAAGTAAACTATTGCAAATTAATGTAATGAGTTTACTCTCCTCTTCTTTGTAGCACAATGGCTGACAACAAAGCGAAGTCTACCAAACCTGTGAATAAGACTCCTCCAAAGTCTCCATCAGATCCAGCAAAGGACCGAGCAGCAAAACGACTGTCCTATGATTCAAACAGCTCCCATGAAGGAGCTATGGCAGGAGAAATAAGTGCTCTGGAAGAGGCCTTTAGGAAATTTGCCATCCATGGTGATACAAGAGCCACGGGAAAAGAAATGCATGGGAAGAACTGGTCAAAGCTATGTAAAGACTGTCATGTGATAGATGGGAAGAATGTGACAATCACAGACGTTGACATTGTCTTCAGTAAAATCAAGTAAGTTCCTTTCTGCCATTGTTTCCTTGTCTCCCCGACATGTTTTGTAAATATCATCTAAATTTATCTTCTGTTACTTACAGATGTTTTGGAGCACTGTATGTCTTTGTCACAATCAATCTCTTTCCTTTATAAAACTGTGTTGCTTTGTCTGAAAATACAGCTTTCAGCTTCTGTCCCGCTATCTTAAACTGGCTTCAGTGTCACAGGTGCTATGCTGTACAAAGAGACATGGTGTGATCAGGACAAATGCAGGATATTCCAAGAAACTTTTTTTTTTTTTTTTTTTTAACTGAAGAAATTAATGTGAATGTTTCCTGAAGGATATCTGAATGAAGTCAGGATGTAGTTTTACATGTTGCCAAAACTCAGCCTCAGAGGACTGAGGCTAAGGTTGGGTATGTACTAAAAGCCGTTATTCTAACAGTTCTGATGTCCAGCACAACACCTACTCAGGTTTAAAGTGTAGGGCCGCACCAAAGTGATGGTGAATTTGTGATGCAGACCTATGGCTGTGATTAATTGGATAGGATTATCTCAGTGGTCCTAGCTTATTCTGGTGAGCAGGCTGGAGCTTTAGTGAAACTTTCTCCCTAGATGGAAAACCTAGGCAGGCTTGGTCCAGAAACTTGTCAAATCCAAGGGAAGACATTCAGCTGTTCTAGCATATTCTGTATGAAGCTCCAAATATTTTTTTTTGTTCTGTCTTTATGTGTAGAATGGGATCATTTTCACCTTTTCCTTCCCCTGGTATCTGATCTGATAGCCTTGTCTTTTCTGCTTTTTATTACCACAGTAACTGTTTAAATTGTCTCACACCTCATTGTCTTGAGGGGCATGCTTTAAGGAATATCCCTTAATTGTACTTGTAGCTTGTAGGAACATTTGTTTGGCTTGTGCTCTCAACTGCTGTGGTGTAATGCTGGGGTGTCCTGCTTTCAGCTGGGACAGAGTTAACTTTCTTCCCAGTAGCTGGTGTGAGGCTGGTTGGGTTTGTGCTGAGGAGAAGCTGATCACACACTGATGGGCAGAGCTGCTGCCAGGACAGCCAAGGACTTTCCAGCTTCTCTGCTGTGCCCGTGTCTGCAGGGGCAGGAGAAGCTGGGAGGGAGCACAGCCCCAGTGACCAGCCCAGGATTTGATCTTAGGTTTGGGATTGAGCCCCAAACTGGACAATGGTCTGTTCCATCCCATGCCCAGCATGGCCAGTATGTAGATGAGGTTCTGTCCAGAAGTAAATTTTCTTGTTCCAGGCTGTCTCCCTCTGGGTCACCCCTCTCTTAGGGTTCTCTTGACGTCTCTGACACTTGGGCTCTTATCTCCATTCTGGGATTGTGGTTTCAGGACTCTCCCAGCTCTGTGATTGTTGGCTGGGAATGTGCTGAGCCTTGGTTACTGGGTGGTGAGCAGTGTCACTGTGTGTCACTTGTTTGTGTATTTGTATATAGTACTATTACAATCATCATCATTATTTCCAGTATTATTGTAGTTTAGTTGTTAAACTCTTCTTATCTCAACACAGGAACATCTTTTCCCTTCACCCCTTTAATTCTCTCCCCCATCCCTGGGAGGGCGGAGGGTGAGCGAGCGGCTGGGTGGTATTTTGCTGCCAGCCAGGATCACAGCTGTGACATGGGGGGACTTGCAAACTGAGTTGCTTACAAGGGCAGTTGGGAAAACTTGCTAAAAGCACTGCTGCTTTAGAGTGCATCAAAGTGTAGAAAGGCAAAGAAGAAAAGGCCCTTGATCTTGAAAGGCTGTCCAGTGTAGCGTGCACAGTCAGAATGACATTGCTTATTTGATTTCTTTCTTTGTTTCTTTTCTCCTCAGGGAGCTTATCTAGGCAATTGAAAACACTATATGCACGCTCCAACCCTCTTGTTCTTGTATCAGTCCGCTTTCCCTTTGACTTCCTACTTGTATGGTTTGGAAGCTGTGCCACCAGAGTTAGATATGCTGTCAGTGAACCGGCTGATTTGAAATGGATGTTTAGGCTGTAGGGTTGTTTCTTTCTGTCTTCATCTATGATGGACAATGCTAGCATTTGTTTTTAAATTTTCTTTGGCTTTCATCAACTGAAAAATTTATCTGTATCTGTCATCACAGGAAATAATTAATCTTAGTGCTGCTTTCTTAGGTCAGTGCCTGGGCAAGTTAGCGATAGGACAACCCCACGATATGGCTTAAACAATTGTGCAACATTGGCAGATAGAAAGAAATGTCAGTTTTGGTGCCTGCTGGGCTGGAAGGGTTGCAGTCCCGTTCTGCAGGAAGGAGGTGGGAGGTTGCAGGGACCTGAGGCTCGAGGGCAGTGTCAGCATGTCCCCTGTTCAGCGGTCTCAGCGCAGCG